CAAACAAATGATTATCATTAATTAATAGAATTCATTAAATACCTAAAAGATCAAATGTAATAACTTATAAAATTAGTCAACAACTTAAAATAACTTAATGGTAATCTTTTTTTGTTAAAAATAAGAGGTTCTGAGTTCAAATTGCAAGGTATGTGGGTAAAGTGAATTAAAGGATGAAAGATAATCGACTTCTACTGTGCAACCAAGATTTAAAAAAAAAATTATAAGATTACCTTCCCATTGACCAAAACCATTTCAATAGTTAGATGGTCTATATTATGTTTCAAACAAAAAACATCTCATAATTTACATATTCACACTTTAATCTTTCAATCTTCTTTATCGAGTGAAATTTGACTAAGAAATACATATTCTATATCTTTTGTAATTTACCTCTATATAACAAAGTATTAAAATTAAAGAAAAAATGAAACATAATTAGGGAAAAAAGAGAAATTAATGGTTAAAATCAAATTCACATTCATATTGAAAAAATGAAATCCAAGAAAAAAAAATCTCTAAAATAAAACAACAATAGAAAAAATTTCTCACTTATAACTAAAATCTTTAAAAAAATAAACGTCTGGGGTTTAAATTGTCCATACTTAACTCTTTAATATCTAAGTTCCATTTGTTTTCTTTTCTATTTTTAAATATTTAAATGGTATTGTCTCTTCATCCATCAAAGAAGTAAAGCTTTTTAGTTTCCTCTTAATCCGTTTCCTCGGCAACGCAACAGTGTTGATTAGAGACTACTAATTCAAGAATTAAATCTAATAATAAATAAATATTATTTTATAAAATAAATACATTATTTAAGTTTTAAAATTAATATATAAAAAATTAATTTTTTTAAATATACAAACGTAAAAAAACTAATTTTAAAATATATAAAAGTTTATTCATGAACACTATATTCGTTCGAACCAAAATAAAAAATTACTTCAGTAGTGTTTTTTTTTTGCCATGACAGGGTAATAATTTGATTCATGCATAATAATAAAGTATAGTATAAAAAGATTGCCGGTTGTTGCAGGAACAAATTCAACTTTTAAAAGGAACCAGACCTTGAGTCCGATGAGTTGACTTCAAACTTTACGTACTTAGCTGAGATAATTAGAGTTTTGAATTTTATCATCGTTGTGAATTTTATTAAAAAATAATTTAATAATTACATTTTTCATTTGAGAGGATGAACTATTTATTTGATCTGAAAATCGAATCTCCAGTTGCTAACAACTAATTTAAATTAATTTCTTAACTATTACTTTTTGTTAAAAAAATAAAAAAAACTCAACTTTTAAAAGAGGAAAAAAAAAATTCAGCCACTTGATATGTATTATTAAGAAAGTAAAGTTTGCTATGTGTAATGATCATGTCTGCCACTACTACTTGCCTTTTGTAGTTTGGTCAACCAAAGCCCCAAACAAAATATTGTAATAACTAATAATATTATTGAACTCCATTAATCGCCTTGATGAGTCGTGTGCTTTATTAAATGAGATGACATATTCATCAAATTTGATAATCGAATTTTCAGTTGCTAACAATTAATAAAAATTAACTTATTAATTATTATTTTTGTAAAAAAAAAAACACTAGTAATTTGATTAACCAAAATTAATTATCATTTTTTATCTGTGGGACTTAGGCAGTAGCATATTTACTAGTATATCTTCAGTCAACTTGGAGGAATGGGCAGGAAGCTTTCAGTAAAATTAAAAAACAAGGGAAGATCCAAAAAACTGAAGTCGTATTCAAATCGTCCTTTTCCGAGGGCATGAGTCGTAGACATCTTTCTTTACCCTGACTTTGGCAGAGAAAACGGATTTGCACCGTCAAAGAAAAAACGAAACATAATTAGAGAAAAAAAAAATCGATAGTTAAAATTAAATACCTATTTACATTAAGAAAATTACAATCTAAAAAACTATATTTTGTAATTAAATATTAAATTTAAAAAAATCTCTAAAACAAAACAATAATGAAAAAACTTTTTCACTTATAGCTAAATTATTTTAAAAAAATAAATGTATGAAGTTTAAATAATCAAAACTTAACTCTTCAAGATCTAAATTCCATTTGTTTTCTTTTCTGTTTTTGAATATTTAAATGGCATTGCCTCTTCATCTATCAAAATATAAACTATTCTTGAATATTACTAATTAACATGCTACAAAAAAAAAAAAAGAGAAAATTATCTTACCTTCGTCTACCAAAAAATGAACCAATCTTTTCAATATTAATAATTAATAATTAACATTCTATTTATCTAAATATATATAATGCTACCCTATGCATTAAATAGGGTATGTATTTATATATATAATCTAATATATAAAATAAATAAAATATATATAATAATAATTTTTACATATACCCTAAGCATTAAATAAGTACTAAAATTTGTCATTTTATTTTAATTGCAAATGAATAAATTATTTACATAAATCTATTTAATAATATAAGTTCAACCTTTTTATCTTCTCATATTCTTATCTTCCATTTTTTATTTTAATATTCTCAATTATTTTGTAATTATTAGTTTTCATGACACAAATAATGTAATATAATGTATTAAATCAAAAGAAGATGAATATATACTTAAAATTTATAAAGAGTAAAAACATAGGATTATAATGCATTACATAATAACTTTGTGCGGTTACAATTTTTTTTAGTTTTTTTGTTTTCTTCTTCTTTGTGTATAGTTCATTATATAAGAAAAAAAAAATGTTTGATTCTTCTCTCTAAAGATATTCTCTTCATTATCCTTAATTTTGTATTGCTATAAGTCTATTTCTTGAAATTTGCTTCTCACTATTCATAATCATAAATAAACTAATTATCCTTCACTATATATAATTATATAATAAATATATGTTATATATATTTATGATATTATTAACAAGCTGCCAAGAAAAAAAGAAAAAACAAATAGTTTTGCATTTTCATCTACCGAAGGATAAATTGATCTTTTCAATATTAATAATTAATAATCAACATACTATTCATCTAAATTATATAATAAGTAAATCTATATAATAAATAATAAATATATATTAATGTAATTAAAATAAAAAATTATTTAATAAGATTGATTTTTTATCTCCTAATCTTACTTTTACAATTCACACGAC